CGGGTCGTCCAGAGTCAGCTTGAGGAGGGGCCATCAGGTTTTCTTTGTTCAATTCTTTGGCGGATTTACACTCCGTTCGCAATTTGTTCAGGGGATTCAAACTTATCTCTTACTTTTCTTGCAGGCGAAATCATGATCTCCGCGGCCGATCGGAAGAAGCTGTTTAAGTCTAAGGCGCGCGCGGAGTCCAGCCAAGAACGGCCTCCGCTCCCAACTCCCGCACTGTCTGCCGAGCATGCCCAGGCGAGGAAGAAGCGCAAGGAGGTGAGCTCCTCGGCGGAAGGGGCTTCGCTGAGCGGGGCGAGGTCTCCACCCTCGCGCTCGGTGGACTACGGGAACCTGGCCTTCGTGAAGGTGGCGTTCCCCCTCAAACCTTCGTTCTTGCATGGGGACTATGAGCCTCGCCGTTTTCTACAGAGCTTCATCCCTCCGCCCGACCGAATGGAGATAAGTTTGGCCGCCACGCAGGACCTCGCCTCCACTCTCTTGCTCGAGTTGGGCTCGGTAAGCATTCTTCGCTCAGGTATGGCGTGCGTTTCTGCCCGACACTTATGAATTCTAACAAATTTTTCCGGAATTTCACTGCTGTTGTAGGTGGCCATGCGCGCCCCAGAGCTGGTGGAGCGCTTCGAATGGTATGTGGCGGAGAAGGCCAAAGGTGAAGAGGAGCTTCGGAGGCTACAGGAGCACGTGGCTGGCCTCGAGGGGAAGCTCGCTGATGCGGAGGAGCGGGTCCGGGCCGCGAAGCAGGCACGCGCTGCTGCCGAGGAGGAAGCACGCCGTCTTGATGGGGAGGCCGAGCATGTAATTGAGGCCTTTCAGACCTCCCCTGCGTTCGAGGAGGCGGCTCTCTCCCGCATGGACGATCTCTTGAAGATCTGGGCTCAAACTCCGGCCGGCCAGCGTCTCCTTTTCAAAGAAGGGCAAGCCAACTATTCCCTGGGGCTGCAACGGGCTCAAGAGGTTCTGCTCGAGCGGATCCAAAAGGGGAAAGAACTCCCGAAGCCATGCGAGAACCCTGAGGAGTTTGACTCATCCATCTACTACTCTGAGGACGAGGACGCCAATGGCGGGGGCGAGGACACCGTCGGTAACTGAACGCAGCTGGGCCCACCGATGAACTCCACCCTTAGTTTTTTTTTCCTTTGATGTAATGTTTCTGCGCTCGAACAATGTATTTTGCACCGCGCAACTATCACCCTTGACTCTTCGTGGTTTGTGATGCCTATCGTTTTGCTTCGTCTTTAATTGTATTTCCGCGATTGTTTTGGAGGCCGAACGGCCGCTGCCGGGGCGCTTGCCCATACGGGACCACGCCCACGCATAGCCCGCCTAGGCTTGTTAGCCTCGCCTCGTCACCCAACCGAGGACGAGCGCGGGCTCGCCCTCACAAGGAGGTGCTCCGACCAAACGCCTTAGCCTTGGTGCCTTTGTCCCCTGGTTCGTTCTGCGATGTTTGCGCCATGTGCTCTCCCCTTTTTCAGGGATGAATAAGATTTGAGTTCGATTTTATTTATTTATTTATTATTATTTTTTTTTTGGTATTTTGAACGTGAATATCCGACCTCCATCCGGGAAGAACATCCGGGTATGGCCTGCGCTCGGCTTCCTCCCGAGGAGGAGTGCCGAGCGCAAATGTTTGACCTTCATCCGGGAAGAACATCCGGGTATGGTCTGCCCTCGGCTTTCCTCCCGAGGAGAAGTGCCGAGCGCAAATGTTTGACCTTCATCCGGGAAGTACATCCGGGTATGGCCTGCGCTCGCCTTCCCTCCCCGAGGAGGGGCGCCGAGCGCGAGAGTGTTTGACCTTCATCCGGGAAGAACATCCGGGTATGGTCTGCGCTCGACCTCCCTCTTGATGAGGAGTGTCGAGCACGAGTGTTTGACCTCCATCCGGGAAGAACATCCGGGTA